ATGAACTAGTTATACACTCTTTAGTGTTAATTTTACACTTCTCAGTGTATTAGAGATTTATTAGTTTTACACCCCGTCAAGGTACTTTTACCATATACTTTATATTAAAATATCAAAATTTTACTCTCGCTGATGTTGGTGAAAACTACACTCAAAGTGCAGGACCTATATACACCACTCTGAGTGTGTATTGAGTGTAAAACTTTACACTCAATTTTTTACTGTGTATGCTTATTATATGAACATGACTGTCAGCGTTTTATTTGTAGTAATCTTGACTAGATATTTTTTTATAGTTCGACTGTAACAGAAGATCTTAGCGATGATAAAGCTTTCCCAGATCATGACTTATAATTCAAGTTTTTCAGTTTTGTGCTTATTTTTTTCTTGTCTCCGCTTGTTCCTTTTTCATTTAAAATACCTAACAATTTATAAAAAAAAAAGTCTTGAGTTATTTTTTCGTGATCCTCGCCCAAAAGAAACCCGGAAACGCCACCTAAACTACGAAAATCGTTGAAAGATATGAAAGCGGCCTAGATATGAGAAATGAAGCATGCTCATCCTCACACAGAAATTAATTTTGGATATTATTTTTGTCATTTTGACCCGCGAAAACTCCGAAAACGACATCCTAAACATAAAAATCGCTCTAAAAAAATATATTGCCTGAAATTCACCTCAATTTTTAAAAATAGGCGCGATTCTCAATTCTAAGGGCTCTGCGACTCATATCTCTCCAAGAGGTTTAGGGAACATGTGTACGAAGTGGCACAATTTTAATATGAAATGTCGTTTGTTTTGAAAACCCGCAGGCTCTTTAACAGGGCCATACGGTCTAAATCACTAGCTGACTGGGACAGCCAGAAGCAGTCTCAGCAGTCTCAGCGCAGATACAAAGGTCTTATAAGGAGGTCCAAAAGAGAATCGTGGAGGCCGTTCTGCGGAAACGTAGACGAGCTTCCGGCAGCCGCCCAGCTCCAAAAGCTTCTCTCGAAAGACCCAGGACGAGAGCTGGGGTCACTAAGCCTTCCTTACGGTATAGTTATAGGGCTACCGCAGGGTACACACATTCCGGGCTCTGAAATCCTGAAAACTGGTGAACCACCAGTGCACGCTCCACCAGCTGGCTCAAGGCCTGCTGAATGGAAGATAGCTACGAGGGCGGTATCAGAAGATGGGCCATCCACTTATTTGGAGCTTTTAAGAGTGCGGGAACTAATGGAATTTTTCCGGCTCTTTCACTAAAGGGGCTTGAACGACTCCGCACCTAATGCGCCTCTTCAGGGCCTGCCTCGCATATGGTCAAGTAACACATTCCTGGCGTAAGAACCAAGTGGTATTTATCCCGAAGCCAAGACGCTATAACTACGAATCGGATAAGGATTCAGACCCCTCAGTATATCCTCGTTTCTTCTGAAAACACTGGAGAAACTGGTGGACACATTAATCAGGGAAGGGGCATTGAAAATAATGCCCATGCTTCATAATCAACACGCCCACAGTATTGCCATGTCAACTGAGACGGCTTTCCACAGCCTTGTGGCAAGACTGGAGCAAGGAATGTCTTATAAAGAGATGGCTGTGGATGTATTTCTAAACATCGAAGGAGTATTTGATAACACCTCATTCGACTCTATAGAAAATGCAGCAAAAAGCTTTGGCATAGGGGACACCATTGTCAAATGGATCTGTGTCATGCTGGAAAGCAGAATCATTACAAGCTCGATTGGTAGTGCGGTTGAGCTGATCGTAGCTAAGGGCCGCCCGCAGGGGGGTGTACTATCGCCTCCTCATGTGGTGCTTGGTACTGTATAGGCTGCTCCGCACTCTGAACGACGAAGATTTGTACACTCAAGGCTCCGCGGACAATCTTGTTACATCGTTGTGGCTACTTGGGTACCCAGCACCATTAAAGGAGTGATTCAAACAGTTCTTAACATGGTAGAAAGTTGGTGTTAAAATTTCGGGCTTTCCGTAAATCCGGACAAGACTGAGGTAGTAAAATTTAAAAAGCTCACGCGTTTTGGATTGAGACTTGTTCCTTCCGGTATGGTGAAATATCTAGGAGTCATCATTGACTCCAGGCTGACCTAAATAGATCACGTCAACAGGGCCGTCCACAGAGCCGCTGTTAGCCTTTGGGCCCGTAGAAGATCCATCGGACGCACCTCTGTGGCTTACAACCCCACATAGTCCACTGGCTTAACACAGCAATGATAAGGCCAATGATCACGTACGGCAGCTTAGTTTGGTGAAACACGCTAAGTGAATCCACCTACAGGGCAAAGCTGAGCAACTTGCCGGCATGGCTACAATTGGAGCCTCCAGAAAAACCCCAACGCTGGCGAAGGAGGCCATACTGGGCATCTCCATCTCTTTGTGTAGGCACAAGCCCGGGAGGCTTCTGTCAGACTCAGCGATTGAAGATAATACGTTCACAAAGGGCTGAGTAAGGGACATGCAAGGGCCTGGACTGACACCATCAGGCAAGACCCCTTTCTCACCAGAAGGGATGCAATGCGACAAACTTTAGCCCCTCCTAGACAATACAAGGTCGTCATCCCTGTAACGAACGACTGGCTAGAGCCTGACCCAGGCTTTCGAAAGTCGAAAACTTTTTTTTCTCTGAAAACTGTAGCGTTCTAACAAAACATTCACGTTCGAAACAAAGTAAAACATTTCATTTTTTAAACAAACTGAATAAATAATTACCTTGGGCGTGCAAAAGACATGAAAGCTCCGGGAGAAGGCTGAATCACAGTCAAAATGATAAATTTAGGGGGAACAACTACAGGAGATACAAAATTCATCAAAATGCACATGAATAAATATATCTATGAAGATCAAGTCTCCGAACCATGGCAGAATGCGCAAGTGATCGCACCATATAGGCAGAACTACCAGGATTATTATAGCAATAGGTAGACTAATGCACCAATTAGACGAGCACCAAGCACCCCAAGCTGGTATCTCGGAAAGGTACTGCATAGTTGAAATGTAGTCAGTACAAAAACTCCCAAACTTTTCATTCTTACTCTGTAGTCTGCACGATATCGTCAGAACGTTAAACTGGGGTAGCATAGATGCCCATTGAAATAGACAGCCGATGGTTTTGTTGGTACTTGTAAAGTCATAACTGATCGAACCATTTGGTGATCAGTCCAGCATCAGACATCGGCATGGTATATCTCTGGTTACTTTCACGTCACCTTGGTCTTTGGCATGCACAATAAAGGAGTGGATGAGATGTCAGTGCCTTAATCTTGGACTTTGCCACGTTGTGTTTTTTCTTTAAACAAGTATAATCACTCACATACATTTGCTTATCTTTTATGGAAATAGCAGATACAAAAAACATTGCAGTGGGTAGATAGCATGGAAGATTTTTTCAGTTTGTAACATGAATCGAAAACCCAAAATAAATTAATTCAATGGTTTTGATGAGCACACACACAGCCGATACCTAAACCACCTCCGTTTCACGGATAATATTATAGATACTCATTAGCACAGAAGAACTGGAAGAGATGTTGGCGAAACTGAAAGTGAGATTAACCCAAGTGGGACTTCCTATGAACTTGAGAAAAACAAAATTCAGGTCTTTGGAAAATGTCAGGCGTGGCCTGAATGATTTGATCGTAGAAAATGTCTGAAATTATGCTCACTTAGGGTATATGATCAAGATTGGCAAACCAAACAGAAATTAGTAGAGGAATCCAATTGATGTGGAAAGCTTTGCAACAATTGATCTGATGATAACGGTATTTCGGAAATGAAACGTCCTTTATCAATACCATGAAGTAGAATCGCTTCTTTTAGATTTGCATAATTTTTTTCTTCATAGTTATTATTATTTTATAAGGAAAGTAAAGCCCAATTTATAAACTCACCGTCGAGATTCCGTTTGCGTTTGCGTTTGCGTCGAGCACGCCGTTACCAATTGTTTGGGATTTATCATGGATCCATCATCAGCATAAGTAAGAGGTAGTAGGGAATATGGTTACACACAATATGCTCAAGTCGTAATGGGTACATAAAAAAATGTTCATGACGTATCCAACATAAAAACTACAAAACAAAGGTGGAGATCGAAAAAGAAAAATGTTTATTTAACATTTAAATTATTGGCTTTATTCTAACAAACCTCAAAATATGCCTCTTCGCTGTGAGAGATGGACTAATATTTTTAAATTCGACTTTGTTTAAATAAACAAAACATGATTTGATAACACTGTAGGTATCAATATAATGACATAATTATAGCTCAATAATCGTAACTAACTCAGATAAGTAAAGTAAAACTAAAGTGTTAGAGAAATTTATTGTAAATTAAGGAGAAAATTAGTATATATTTATTACTGAACCGATCTTTAATTAGAATGTTTATCTTTTGGCTTTGGCAAAAATAATAATTATTAAATGTATGTGATGTGTACCACCCATTCAGTCACTGGCTATGAAACGAATTTCTAAACATAAAAAAGTAATGCGAAATACGTACATCTGCGACTTTCGTAAAACCGTAAATTATATAATATGAAAAATACTATTTTACAAATAAAAAAAAATTAAAAAAAAAGTTGCCTCACACCGTGCTTGCACATTGCCGTGACCAGGATTCGAACCTGGGTTACTACGGCCACAACGTAGGGTCCTAACCACTAGACGATCACGGCTATCGAGGACTTGTGAATGATTCTGCCAACACACTAGAAGCGGAACGTTGGAGTTTTTGCATGACCACGGAATCTGATTTGTATAGCATCTATACAAAGTCTGTTTATAATATAACAAAGAATAACCAATAATTGTTATTCTTTATTGGGAAAAGTTTGTGTAAGATGTTCTCAACAGCAAAAGGAGGTGTTCTTCGCTGAAAAATTACTTTGTCGGTCTGGACTCTAAAACTCATGTTACAAAGCACTTAACGAAGTTATTTACTTAATGTTGTTACCAAAAGTTCGTTCTAATTAAGGATTCTAATAGTAATCTAAACTTACCGTCTTTGTCGTAATGACTCCAAACTTCCATAAACTGATTTGCAGAAAGTTTTTTCAACTCTCGGGAGTTGGGGTCACGGTATTGTCTCATAAAATTCGTTGCTCTTTCCAGGTTCAACTTTTTCTGATGATCTGCGCTGGCCATTTTTCTGTAATAGAATGACAGATTTTAAATAAATTCATATTTTTGGTTAACCCACTAAATCATTATATGCTCGAAAAATTATCGGGTAATACGTAACTAGGCTAAGAGTAGTTATTTATGAAAATCCTGATAAAAAAGACAAGAATAATATAATATACTATTTTGCGCTGCATTTATTTATGCCTATAAACAGCCCCGATAGCACGAAATATTTATTAAATATCCATTAAATATTTAATAATATTTATATCTTATTTAAATATTTATTATGTTAAACAAATATTTAATAAATATTTGGTTTATAATATTTTTATCAAATATTTAATAAATATTTTTTATTTATTTCAAATGCAATATTTCTTTTATGATATACATTTAATATTTACTCTTTAACTGATGAAAAATATTAGAAATCCATTATTTTAAAAATATTCGACAAATATTTGAAAAAAAGCAAAATGAATTCTTGAAAAAAAAAAATTGTTCGGGTATCATAAAATAAGTACTAATTATAAACAGGCACACTTGCTCACATTGATTTTTTATTTGAAATTATAATTCGGAATTAAAAAAATGTGTTCGATAATCATTTGATTAAAATATTTAATGAATATTTTCCATTTATTTCAAATGCAATATTTTTTTGTAATATACATTAAATATTTACTTTTAAATGAATGGCAAATATTAGAAATCCATTATTTACAAAATATTTTAAAAATATTATTTGAGAAAAATCCAAAATACCTACCAATACCTTCCTATTTTGTTTGGTGATGTAAGTATTCTAGTTTTTGTATAATGTAATAATAAATAATTATATTGGTATTTCAAATGAAAGAAAGTTAGCAAATCCAAAATACAAAAATTAATCCCTATAATAATGCTTTATTGTCGAAAAAATGTTTAGCATAATTTGTAGATAAAGCCTAAAAATTAAAAATGACCCTATAACTGTTATTTTATGTCATTGTTTCAAAAAAAAAAATAAAATAAAGTTTTTCGGCGTGAGAACCGAACCCGGCTCTCGCCGATGTCAAGCGAGCGCACTGTCCAATAAACTATCGAACCTCTTGAGTTTGATATGAAATTTGGGCTTAAAGACTAAACACATAAATAGGATGCGCGCGCATTCAAAGTCTCCGAAAAACGGGACGACAGACGCCATCCATGCCGCCATGTTACTTCATGCTCTGCCGCTTTTAGACAAAATTAATTTAAACGTATTTGTAAAAAAATATTTAGCTGAGTAATATATACCTTTTTAAAAAAAAAAATTTAAATTTTTTTTCTCATATTTCATATTTGTGCAATATTATATTTGAAATATTGATATAATATATTTTGTTAATATTTGAGAAATATAATAATTGAAATATTTATATGATATTTTTTTTTTGATATTTCAGAAATATTATATTTAAAATATTTAAATAATATTTAAAAATCTGTCGCTTTTATATTTAAAAAATATTAAAAAAAAAAAAATTATTGAATATTTCTTTGCTATCTGGGAGGGTAAGTTCTGCGAATAAATCAATAATAAGCACAATGTAGGTACAAAACATCTACCCCGACAGCACAGGACTTCTTTATGGACTTACGGTACATCTGTCTCAAGTCTGGAATCCTTTAGACATATAGAGGACATTTTATGAATGTCCTTATAAAGATGTCCATGAGATGTCAACTAGCAGCTGCGCGTCGTTTGGCTCAACGGCAGTTGCGTGCGGGAAAGTATTACTTTCCGCATTTGTTAGAAAAATTACTATTTTAGAGCAGGCGCTAGGCTACATTCCGTCGATTAAAAAAACGGAAAACCGTCGGACTCTCTTTGGAATGATCTGCTGCGACCGGTAGTAATAAGTAGAAAGTGAAGATGTCAACTGCAGTTCCTATTTTTTTTAATAGACCGGTCTTCTATTACCTGGACTGCGCGCGCAACTCATAGGTTGCAGGTGATCGTCCAATGGAAAGCGAGTTTGTTACAGACTTGCGTCATATTCTTATTCAGGTGCCAGTTCAGAATTAATCGTTCTTTATTTCTTTGTAACGTGTAATTAAACAAAGAGCAAACTAATACTTTACGTATTACATGAACTCACCGCACTGTCGTTTAAGGTTATGTTAGATTATACTTGACATATGTTGGCGGATGACGATGTTGGCGGATGAAACATTTGTCAAAATAAAAGTGCAAACGATGTTAAGATATACTTAAAAGCTCTTATTTTGTCTGATTTAAGGCGTTGTAAAACACTTGACACTATATCACTTCTTCAATCTTATAATGTTCGATTCGTATTGTCGATACAATCTGGCTTTACGGCAGCCACGAGTTGCGCGCGCATGTCATCTTTTATTACTTTCTAACTTGTATTTATTACAAATAAGCTCACTTTTTCTATTTATGCGAGATAGGTCTATTATTTCCCTTAGTCTTTCAATCGACAACCATCCTGTGATTTTTGATTGCTTTGGGATCCTGGGAGGTTTCAAGATGTAACTTCATTGAACCATACTCCAATAGGTATATTATTGTTATGAACATAACTTTATTTCACTGAAAAGTGGTCTAAATTTGGAATTGAACAAAAATTTGTGAAGGTCTGTAAATAACATTTTATTAAAACGCTCCTCAAACGAATAGGAAAACTCATTTAAAACTGTCAAGAATACAGCAAGCCGTCGAAAAGATGTCATATATTATCTATTCACAATCCGATGTAGGAGGTAAAATTTATCACCTTTCAGTGCTATTTGATAGGGAAAGGTGATAAATTTACCTTTACCTTTGGACTGAGGATTGCAAATAGGATATAGGTACGAGATAGTTAAAGAGGATGTACGATGCGGATGAGCACTGTTTTTCATGGCCAGCTATATTAGCCGCAAAATTAAATTCGTCCCCGTGAAATACGCGTACTAGACCAAGGGAGGAAGAAATTGGTAATGAAGCAGTTTCATCAAATCTGGTACCCATGCATTTAAACTGCTTCATTTGTGTGTAAAAAAAAAACCAGGCGAAAACAATATTTTTTTAATTGGACTAGCATCTGCTACTCAAATTTACATTACAGCACTTCGAAAACATATTGCCGTACTTATTATTCGCACCTAGTTGCGGAGATCCTGAAGTGTTGGGTTTGAAATCAAAATATCACAAAGCGTGATTCAGTAAATACGTTCGTTATATTACCGAGAAAGTTGCGCTATGTTCGAGGTAGACCATCATTCAACATTAGTCGACAGCAGACACTTATATGGCTTTTGAAAAAATTGAACAATTATTGGTGGATATTGAAAATAGGATGATGAGTGTCATCTTTGAATTACCATCTGGCTAAGCGAAATGTGTTTGTTCTTATAAGGAAAAGCTGCAGTTTTGTCGAATTATACTGTCGACACATGAGCCAGCTTAGGAAAAGAACACACTGTACATGAACTCAATAATGAGTTTATTACAAATCGACAAAACACAGGACGTAATTAACCTGGTTAATTATGATGAGACAAGCAAGAAATGGATATAAATTGCGATGCGATCCGCATCAAAGGCAGACTTGAACCAACGCCGGTTCCTCTAGTTGGGAAAGCTCCTCTGGACTCAAGTCTCCCCAGTGCCTGTACCTCTGTTTGGGAATGCCACTCTGGGTATCTTCAGCCTTATAGTTGTCCAGCGCTGCTATCTCTAGCTGGGAAAGCTCCTCTGGACAAGGCATAAGGGTCACTTGCTACAGTTGCGTAGCGAATGAACCGAGAGTCCCCCAAGCAACGTTGACGTGTGGCCCCCTATAAGCACCCTAGCGTTAAATGGGTCATGCAACTTACAGGGTGAGGATAGGTGTAAGGAACCTATTGGACAAACGTATCTATTGAAAATAAAGAGAAATTTGTGGAAAATTGAAGGATTACAAATTTTGGTCCTGGGCGGGATTCAATCCTCAGCATTGCCGGTGCTAGGCTCTGACCAACTAAGCCACCATGACCCTACAGATCTTTTTGATTTTTTTTTTTGGTGTTGTTAGAGGAAGTTGCGTGGTTTTCCGCCCATTGCCAAAGTTCTCAATTCTTCAATAAACCCACACATTGATAGAATCGGTCCTAACTCGAATAAGCTTCTTATTACTATGTGGGTTTCGTCTATGTGTGTTGAAACTTGGTGTATGCGATGCCCGCATAAGCAATGTTGAAGAGAATGAAGTTTTATCGGTTAAAACGACCGAAAAGCGTGGAAATTGAAAATGAAGAGGAGCTTATTCGAGTTAGGACCGATGCCATGTGTGGGTCTATTAGAGGATTGAAAAGTTTGGCAATGGGCGGAGAACCACGCAACTTCCTCTAACACATCTGTAGGGTCAAGGTGGCTTAGTTGGTGAGAGCGTAGCACCGGCAATGCTGAAGACGCGGGTTCGAATCCCGCCCAGTACCGTCAAATGGGGTGAAATTATTACACTAAAACTACATTTTTTTCTGTGCCAAAAAATATGTATTACCACTATGCCCAATGAAGACATCCAGATATATTAGAGCAGGCGCTACAAGTAGTTGAGTATGCAAAATATGAGGACCGGCAAAACTGTTCAAATTCGTGTTCCTGTGATCTTGAAGAATGGGAAAGTACATCTTGCCGGCAGCTGGAGTGGTCCCTAACTTTCCTGCGATTTCCCAATGCAAAGTTATATGGAAAATATCACAATTTCAAGTCATTTCACAATAATTCCTATTGATTGTACTAAGGCTTTCTTTTCAAGCACTCAAAATAATTCTACCACTTGTTGGATATCTTAGCAATTCGGCTCCAAAACATACACAAGTAAAACAAGACTGCGAGATGTACAAGGTCATCCAACGACGACTGAACAGGGGCTTATTTTTGACCTTCCCTGTTTCTGTAGTTTTGAAAAAATTCAAAATAGCCAATTGGCATATTTTTTTCTGGAGAATTCAACAACGGTAAGTACTAAAAAATCATTTGAACTAAAAACTAAAGAGTTACG